TCTTTCTCTCTCACCCTTCTCTCTCTCTCTCTCTCTCTCTCTCTCTATCTCTCTCTCTCTCTCTCTCTATCGATCTCTAAGTATACTTAATACGCTATTAGATCTATCTATCTATTTATTTCTCATACTACAGGAATTGTATAAGCCAGAATTTCGTTTACCAAATACGCCGACTTCATTCATGAATAAAAAATAAAAAATATGACGCTAAATTCAATCAAGATACTTCGAGCTAAGAAGGCCTCTTGTATTATAAAGAAATACGTAACAATAACATACCTGATACTCCACCTGCTCGATCCCGAGTAGGAAGGCAAGCGCGGATAGAAACAGACTGACGCATAGGTTGATGAGCAAGATGGCGCGGCCAGAACGCAACGTTCTGCAAATTATAACACAGTCTAAGACTCATATCATTTATTCCTATGCCTACTATCTATCCTTACGACCTTCAATGAATTACTAAAAAGCGGTAATAAAAGAAACGTTCAAGACGAAATAAAAAAAGGCTAGTTGTTATTGTTTTCTCGCATCTCGCAATTAGTGTCGCGAAAAATTACGCAAGCAGGCATTGGCTCATCGCCTTATTAACGTTGTAATTATTATTAATATCTGTAGTAGTATAATTGAAGTTATAGCTACCTCCACAGGCAGCCATATGTTACGATAGTTAGGAAGACGGCAATGGTCGAGATGGACATTCCGATGGTCGATACCAGATCAAGAGCGAAGTTCCGCTCCTGAAACAAACACCAACCGTTCGCTGGTCAGTGGTAAAATACAACCGTCTGTGGATCCGATGCTGTCGTGAGAACACATAGAGAAGGCTATAGATTTCAACGCTATCGAATCGTACCGTATTTGGGAGTATGCTCATTAGAACGGCAAAGTTTGTCAGGTGGTCACACTCGCAAATCGTCTGCGTGTCTGACGTAATCTCCACGTGACATCCCTCTCTTGACCAGCCGCCGCCAACTGTGTCCCTAAACGCACAAAACATGTTTATGTTATACAGAAATGCATATAAATAACTAAATAAATAAATAAATATAGATAGATAGCTAGATAGATAGATAGATAGACAGATAGATAGATAGATAGATAGATAGATAGATAGATAGATAGATAGATAGATAGATAGATAGATAGATAGATAGATAGATAGATAAATAGATAGATAGATAGAC